CTATTGTTCTTTTACTTCAACCAGAATAAAGTCAGAACTTTTTATTTGTTGGTGCGTAAGTGTATATATGCAAACAACTAAAGGGGTCATTAAGATTCTTCACTGTCAGTCTAAAAATCCAGGTTATTTCTGTTCTGTTCTTCTGTTTTGTGACTTGAAGCCTCACAGGATATGAAATAACATTGCTTTTACCCCTCATATTGAATGCCTATTTTTTATGTAACTTTTCGTCTTTACTTGTGTCCACCTTGATTGTCTCTGACCCTTTAGAACGTCTGTGACACTTTAAAAAGCTGCCTTATGATGCTCCTTAGAGTCTTGAGTGATTTTTATCCAAGGCTTATTTCCCCAATTGGATCCGTCCGTGTCTCCGTCTGTCCATATGTTCACTCATCCATCCAGTTCGTTTTTTCAACGGACATTTTACTGAACATGTACTACAAGCGGTGTGTTATTTTTAGGTCCGGAAGAGACAGCAATAGCAAGAAGTATTTCCCGCTCTCTAGAAGGTCACAGGCGAGGAAAGACACATGTAATCAACCGAACGTATAGATGCAGATAGGGAGGTAGTGCTAAAGTGAGGATTTGCCCAAGATGTTACCGGGACAGGGGCGCCTGGGTGGCTCAGTAGGCTGAGCATCCGACTTTTGATTTTGGCTCAGATCATGATCCTAGGGTCCTGGGATTGAGCCCTGTGTTGGGCCTCACACTGACAGCAGGGGAGCCTGCTTGGGGTTCTCTCTCTCCCTCTCTCTTTGCCCCTCCCCCACTCAGCCTCCCCCCCCCCCCCCCCCGCCATAAGTAAACTTTTAAAAAAAATTTAAAAAAGATGTTACGGGGACATTAAGGCACCACCCAGTTGTCAGGTTAGGACAGACGGGTGGTGGAGCTCAGAGATGTCTTTCCAGAGTGGTTTGGGAGAACCCTCGTCTGCGTTTGCAAGGAGGAGTGACTTTGGGGCAGGAGAAAGCGAGGAGCAGAAGCCTCGGGCAGAGGGTCCAGGAGCTCGTCGCCGGTGTCATCCACTCTGTGTCCTGTGTGAAGTCCACGTGTAGGGACTGAAGGGATCTGAACTTCATTTAGGCAGTGCACTTGCAGGGGCATGGTTCTCTAAAGCGGGCACCTGGACGTCTGAAAGCGGAACGGAAGGGAGAGGATCTGGCCAGGTCTGTAGGCGTTTTGGTGGGGAAATGAGACTGCTGTTTGGCTACGAGAAGAGTGGGCTCCCCTGGGGGTTTATTTTTATTTTTATTTTTTTTAATTTTTTTTCCAACGTTTTTTATTTATTTTTGGGACAGAGAGAGACAGAGCATGAACGGGGGAGGGGCAGAGAGAGCGGGAGACACAGAATCGGAAACAGGCTCCAGGCTCTGAGCCATCCGCCCAGAGCCCGACGCGGGGCTCGAACTCACGGACCGCGAGATCGTGACCTGGCTGAAGCCGGACGCTTAACCGACTGCGCCACCCAGGCGCCCCTCCCCTGGGGATTTAAATGCTCAAAGCTCAGGTTGGCAGGACCCTGGAGAGCTGAACTGAGACTGCTGAGCAGGGCTGAAGAAGTGTACGCTCTCTTGACTTCTACTGTCTGCACTTCCAGAAGGAAATCGGGTGAAGGGCTCTTCCCTCTGTGCATCCCCGGAGCACACGCCCCCTTCTCTGGCCTGCCTTTTCACAGGTTGGAGTACAATTCCTTTCCCTCTATTGTTGTCATTCATATTCCTGTAACCACTGAAAAGGAGAGTGACCTTTTAACCATCGTTTAATGATTCCTTTGTACAGAGGAGAACATCTGAAATAAGGGATGATTGGTGTCCAGCTGGACAAATAACAAGAACAGGCAAATCACCCCTCAGAAAACCCAGGGGAGATTTTACCTAACTCCTCAAGGGTGAAGCTTCAGTGTTCCAAGGACTAATTATCTTCTGTACGTATCCAATATTTTTTGTGTTTTACTAGTCAGAAATAGATGTCACTGTATCACTAGGGAAAACAAAAGACCTATGTGTGTAATGCTCAGTTTAGCTTTTCTTCAATAGGAGTGAAGCTTTTATTGCTATTTCTGAGCTGGACTTCGTGGCGTGTGCCGGAGTGGAAATAAGTCAGCCCTCCCTGGTCATGAGCAGATGAGGATGTCTGGGCTTTTGTGTTTCTGTCTCTGCAGAGCTGGGCAGGGCTCCAGGGAGCCACTGGAGAGGAGAGGGAATGGCTGGGGAAGTCTTCCTGTCTGTCTGTCTGTCTATCCATCCATCCATTTATCTATGTGGCTATCTATCATCTGTCCATCCATCCATCCATCCATCCATCATCTATTATCTACCTACCTACCTACCTACCTACCTACCTACCTACCTACCTACCAGTCTGAGGCTTCATAATAGGGGTAGCATGTGTCAAAATTGGGCCTAACATTCATAGTAAGCAAAGCTGAGAATGTTACGTAGCTCAACCTCTAACTAAACTGGATCTTCAGTAAAACTTTAATCTAGCTTTTGTGACTCATTTTAAAGTAATGAAATTTAATAAGGGCAATGTGAACCCAGTCTTGAGGACAGAGAGAGGCACTCCTCTGCAGATTTTGTTGTCATTGTTTTTTTTTTTTTTTTAATTTTTTTTTCAACGTTTTTTATTTATTTTTGGGACAGAGAGAGACAGAGCATGAACGGGGGAGGGGCAGAGAGAGAGGGAGACACAGAATCTGAAGCAGGCTCCAGGCTCTGAGCTGTCAGCACAGAGCCCGATGCGGGGCTCGAACTCACAAACCATGAGATCATGACCTGAGCTGAAGTCGGACGCTTACTGACTGAGCCACCCAGGCGCCCCTAGAGGGATTTATCTGCGTATGTAACATTTAACATTTTTAATATGCCTTCCAAGAAGGCTTCTGGCCTGGAAAATTATAAAGGAAAATTAAGTAGAGAACCAGAATTACAGAAAGCTGGGAAATACTTTGCTGGGCTTTCTTCACACACTGGACATGGATTAGTAAGTGACATGTATATACATTACATACTATATATTATATAATATTATAATTACATATATATCATATATATATAACATCCATATATAACATATATGAACAAATTTTTTAAATTATTGTTTGAATAGATGCCAGTTCTTAGCCTGCCAGACTGCACGGCTCTCCCTCCTGCCCTGGGAGAGCACCAGCCAGGTAGAAAGGGTGGTGTCACAGCATAGGAACTGCTTGGGCACAATCCTAGTCATGGGACCAACTGTGGAGCTTTTGAAGAACTCAGGAAGGCTCTTTATGGACTTTACTCTCATTGACAGCAATGAGATGCTAATAAAATGCATTAGGTAAGAGGGCGATGTGTTTGGATGCAGATGTGGGAAGATTAGTGTGGCCGCCGACTGCCGTGTGAGGGGCAGGGAGACCTGGAGGCTGGCTGTGATCTAGGTGACACATGATGGCGGGCTGAACTGGAGAATGGAGAGAGGTGCATGGATGCCACAGGGGAGGTAAAATTTGCCGGGATTTGGGACGCACTAGTCAGGGGGCTAGTAAATATCATCGCATTCAGGATGTGGGTGTTTTTATTTTTCACATTAATGAACTATTATAGATTGCCTCTCACTCTCTGTTCTCAAGACTGAATTCACATAGCCCTTCATAAGTTTCTTTACTTTAAAATGAGTTATAGGGGCGCCTGGTGGTTCAGAACTCTGATTGAATCGAGGCTGCTACAGGTCACCACCAAGTCAGAGAGCACAGGTCAGGTGCAATTTTGAAGGGCATGTGGATAAGAAGGAAACCCATTCAGATCTCAGAATCTGGAATAGTGGATTGCTGAAATGAGGTGGCCCAGAACAGGAGGTGAACACAAGGAATAAAAAAGGGGGGATGCCTAACACAAAATTACCTTAAGTGAAGAAAAACTTCACTGCACTTACATTGAATATTTAGTACTAGTTAACTGAGGTTTCTACACTTGGTGCCTTCGGTGCTTAGTTAAATGTAAGTTCATTTGGTTCATGCTAAAATAGATAGCATCTTCAAGTGGAAATTAAAACAACAAACCACGCATCTCTCAAATGTTCGTCTACATATCAAATATAGACTTGCAAGCAAGCTTGGAGACCTGAAGATAGGCCACAGGCTCAGACAGTTCTCAGGAATTATTTGTGAACCAAGACTTATCCAAATAATAAATAAATAAATAATAGATACTTTAATACTCATTAAGTATTAAAATACTTAAATATGAATTAGTGAAAATAAAGTTAACAGATTTGGTCATACAACTGTCTCAAAAGACAATGTGAAATTCAGTAAGTAAGAATGGTTTATGCCCAAATCATTTAATCATCTTACCCAATCTTGGTAAAACTGCATTCTCCTCACAGCCCTAGGTAGCTCAGTAGGTTAAGCGTAGGACTCTTGGTTTTCAGCTCAGGTCTTGATCTCACAGTTCCTGGGATGGAGTCCCACTCTGGGCTCTGCACTGACAGTGTGAAGCCTGCTTGGGATTCTCTCTCTGCCCCTCCCTCACTTGTGCATGCACACACTCTCTCTATAAAAACAGCATTCCCCTCTCCAGTCTTTCCGAGCCGACATCTGCATAGCCGTTACACTGGCTGGGATGCTATATGCTCGCTTGTTTCTTTTTCTTTTTTCTTTCTCTTTGCCTTGCTTAACTAGGATGTTAGCTCGACCAGGAAAAGGTATGGTCTGTTTTGCTCACTGCTATATCCTCACTATCTAGTACAGTTCCTAGCACATATATGCATTTGATAGTTATTTGTTGAATGAGTGTTGTTGAATAAATAAAATGAATGTCAGTACAGACTACCGTGATACAGTAGATTGACGCAGAAATTTCTGGAAGGTACTTTGAGAGAAATACAGATAATTTCACAACTGCCTTTAAATATGATCATATTTAAAGTTTTCTATCTCAGCCAGTTTTCTTACCAACATTCATCCAACGTGTATTTTACATATTCGAGCTCCACCGAATTAAGTTTTAAAAACCAGCACGTTTGAATGAACAGAAATCTACTTAATTGTAAAAGATGCTGATTTTGAATTTACTCTGGACTTCACCCTGTGGGAAGTTTTGTGCAACTTAAAACTGTGAAGCCCCAAGTCCTCTCCAAGGGCACAGGATGCACTGGAATTTCAGAGTACTGCTGTAACTCTGAAGAAATCTGTAGAATTCTTTTCTCCACACCGTAGCAGCACTCCCGCTCGGGTTTCCGGAAGATCAAAACCACCTTGTGATACGGAGGCGAGGTTAGATCAATGTTCTTTTCTGCCCTGTTGATAAGAGGGTAGCTTTAATGCTCTGCGTGTCCCGAGACTTTGTTTAGTTTCAGAAACCCGAGTTTCACGTGCAGGCGGAAGACTGCACGTTCACCAGTGCGCCCCACCCTCCCCGGGACTCACGGGACCCTCGGAGCCCCCAGGCCCGCGTGTGGGTAGTGAGCGTCTGCGTTGCACTGCGCCCTATTTCTGAGCATGGCATCACCTCTGGCGGCGATCCATTTGCTAAAGTTCACGGCGCCCTTCAAAGTCTCCGGTCGCCGCCTAATCCGGGCCGCGCGGCCCCTCCCGGGGTCCCCCGCGCCAGCCCCCCACCGGCCGCCCCGGGAGCAAGGGCGGGCACGGCCCAGCGCACACTCCCCGCTAGCGAAATCAGGCGGCCGTCGCGGGCCCCCGGGCCAAGTGGCCCCGACGTGCCTCCCGGGCCGCCGCCTCGGTCGCCCACGCCGCCGGCCCCCGGCGC